GCGGTAGCGTAGTTGGTTGAGGCACTATGCTACAAGCAGGAAGATTTCGGGTTCGATTCTCGATGAGGTCATTGACTTTTCCATTTGACCTAATCCTTCCAGCCACACTATGGCCCTTGGGTAGGCCGCCCCATAGCTCAAGCGATTAGTCCCTGGCTTTCCACCGCTACGGACCGGGTTCGATTCCTGGTCTGGTGAAGTGGGATTTGTGGTGGACAAAGTGGCACTTGGGCGGGTTTCCTCCAAGTACTTCGGTTTCCCCTGCCAATCTTCATTCCACCAAATTCTCCATTATAATAATCACCCGGGGCAGGCTACAGTAGGCCAATCAGTGGCTGCCGTGCCGAGTGAACCCAGTTGGATTCCACCCCCCCCCCACTAAGCGAATTAAAAAAATGGCTCTTGGGTCAACTCAGCTCCTAACAGAAATGAGTACCAGGAATTTTCGTAGGGGCGTCCGGCGCGTAAGGCTGACAACCTCACCGCCATCTGTGAGCCGATTGTGTATAAAATATGGGAGCCTCGATGTCTCACAACCCTATGGGCCTCCACGGCCTGTTACAGGGATAAGTATACCTTTTATGAAGTTTTGTTGTTTTTGTCTTCATATACGTCTTTATGAGTTATTAATGGTTGAAGACTGCTGTCAGTATTATCAGTTATGGTGATAATCTATTCGCTTATGCTTGCTACTTCTGTTTTGTAGTAAACTGTACAAAAATATTTATCTGAAGTGAAAGATAACATTGTTACAAATATGGGTGATATATTCCTTCTCGCTGTCAAAGTGCGCGAAGGAGACGGCAGGCCTGTGTGTTACATTGGGTGCCTGTACGATTAAACTGTGAACTCTGATGATGTTTTTAGTACATAAGCTTTGTGACTCAGTGGAAATAGTTTTCGTACCATCACCTTGTTTGTCAGTGTAGTGGTCAGTGCAGACGTGTTTATGGAGCTGTGATTTTAACGTATTTAAAGAGAACATTCTTACGCTATTTCTGCTCCAAAAATAATCCATGACTAATTGCCGTAAGGTGAAAAGGTAAGGTTATCCCTGTGTTCATTAAGCGCGTCGCCATTACAACGTAATGAGGACATGGAGGTGCAACTCCATGCATTTTTATCCTGAACACTAGATGGAGATGAATATCCAGCTTCAAGCTACAGCTGGTTTACCTCTGGAGAAAGCGCCATTGCGACGTAATAAGGAAGTGGAGGTGTAACTCCACACATTTTTAACTGCAGCACTAGATACAGATCAATAATCAGCTTCAAGCTTCGGCCGCGTCTCCCGTACTGACGTCTAGAGGTCGCCTGCACATCAGAATCTGTCTGGTTTGTGTGTAGAAGAGATAAGGTCTCTTGTCCTTGCTGGGAATCAAACCTCAAGTCCTCGGTCTTCCAGCCGAAGTGTTAATCGGTATGTAGACTGAGGCATTCGGGTACCGCATGTAAAATGGAAATTGATTCCCTATGAATACGACTCCACATTGTAACATTATCTGTATCATGGCCTGTGCTTCTGTTCTGAGATGATGAATTGACGTTTTGCAAGGAAGGGTTCCTAACACAGATGCGTAAACCCTAGATATTTCCGTGTCGATAATATATCGATGCTAGTAATACGGGTAACCGTCTTTGATCTACTACTCTATGCATACATGAAGGTAAATACGAGGGAGAGGTGACGTTCATGCATTCACATATTGTTTAACTCAAGCTCGCAAGATAAAAAAGCGATTATGTTACCGGATGTTTCCAAATCTGACGTAGAACGGAAGAAAGTTAATTTTCTTTAAATAGTCTTGGATTCGAGTCTCGGAACTTCCACAATCTTACTCTCCCCACGTTTGGAACTATGGGCTTACTTGAAAGTGATTTTCTTGTTGTAAGGATGGTCATACGTACTCGATGATTTCATTATAAGACGTACCAAAGAGTGAAGCTTACTTCTATGCGTGTAGTACCGAAATCATTGTGAGTTCCTTGAAATATTTAGAAAGAAGTCGAGCAAATGCAGTTACACATGCGAATTGCTAAGTACCGTTTATGATGGCCTACTAGTGATTGATGTGCTGGATTGCCAACATATATTTATTTGTATAACTAATGAAGGTTATGCGATAAAGAGTGAGGGATGGTACCTCTCCTATTTAACGACATCAGTCCGAATGCGTTATTAATTTAGCAGTTTCCATTGGCGTTTTTAAGAGCATGAACTTCTCATTACAGTATCAGATCTTGCTGTGTTTTTGTTTCTTCGAACCCAGTTCTGAATTTAAATACGTAGGTACGGATTAAGGGCTGGACGGCCCGTGGATCGGTGTTCGAGTCCCGGTAGAGGCAAGATTTTTCTCTACGACGTCCAGACTGGGTCTGGAGCCCAACCAGTCTCCTAACCAATGGGGGGAGGAAAGCAAAGCTATCCCTGTACCAGGCCACGAAGGCCCATAGGGTTGTGAGACGTTGAGGGTCCCACATTTTTTAGACAATCGGCTCAAAGATGGCGGTAAGGTTGTCAGCCTTACGCGCCGGCCGTGCTTTACTCCTCCGGAAAATTATTTAATTAATTCCTGGTTCTCATTTCTGTTAGAAGCTGAGTCGACCCCAGGGCCATAGTGCGGCCGGAAGGATTAGGTCAATTGAAAAAAATCCAATGACCTCATCGGGACTTGAACCCGCGACCTTCCGTCTTGTAGCATAGTGCCTCAGCCAACTACGCTGCCGCCCCAACCATGGGTACCGTGGGTAAAGTGTCCAGGCCGTGAAGGTAACCACTCACCTCCACCTAGTTCCGAATTCAAGAATGGTGGAGCTATACCTCCGCGCTCTCATACGTCTTCATAGCCTGGTGCTTAATTAATTAAGCACAGAGGCAAGTTTACCTCTATTTCACTCTCCCCTGACAGTTCTCCAGTTCCATACTCATCTGTAACCCGGGGCCGACATAATAGGTCCAGTAGTGGACTCAACCACACCTTAACACGTATTATTTTCATTGAAGAATACCATCTTCTAGGATATGACGCCGTAGAGTCTGATGAAAGTTCACAGGCCTTTAGAGAGACGTACGGCCTCCTTCGGCTTTGAAGAGTAGGCGTTAAGTCAAGCAAGCGACCACCAGAGCGCTCTGTTTTATGCTTCCTCTTCGTTTATTGTTTTACCTGACCTTCGACCCTGAAGACGAAGACAGAACGTTGTTCCGAGACGCCTTGAACTTCTGACGGGCTACACTGTGTCACATCCCAGAAGACACCGCTCTGAGAACCTGTAGCATTATTTTCATGTCCTGCCCAGCTGCTGCTGTTTTAATTCCAGCCTTCCTTCCAAATGTACCGAGACTTTTGTGTTCATGTAGCCCTCCTGACGGATAACTTACCGTTGCATTTCACACAGAATGAGTTGGCAATAATGTAGTGAAAATCAATTGTACAAACGTTCTTAAACTTGAAGGGGGAGTGTTATTGTGAAGAGGGAAACCAGCTTGTTAGCCCTATTTAGTGAAGCATTTTAAATGTTAGATAATTCACAAAGTAAATTAATGTCACGATCTAGAAATATTGTTTGCTATAGAAAGTCTTGTTTATTGAGAAATGGCAAACCGATAGGTACTTACACGAAATGTTTAGTCATGGCTGGGATGTACCAAACAATTATACAGTGAACTGTTGCGGGCTCGACCTTAGTTTTCCAGTCATGTTGGGCGATCCTTAACAGAAAAATCCCCTTCGCCGCCGTCTGTAGCAGCCGCCTTTTAGGGAAGCACAATAGATCAAACTGGTCGGGGTGCATGGGGAAAACCCACCCTCTCCAATAACTAACTAACTAGGGCTCTGCCTGTTTCAAGTTTCGGACTTTACATTTTGAGACATATATCTGCAGAAGAACATAGACTGAGGGTATTCGAGAACGGGAGGTTGAGGAGAATCTTTTAAGGGAAGCGGGGCGACATAACAGGAGGCCGGAGACAATTGCATGATTGAGGAGATTCATAACTGTACTCTTTGCCAAATATAATTACACTAAATGAAGGGAATGCAGGGCAAAGTCATGACATAAAGATAGCTAACAGATGTGTTGAAAATGTGGCACAGTTCAGATATTTTGGAACGACGGTACAAATCGAAACTTGATTCAGGAGGAAATTAAGGGTAGATCGAATTCGGGTAATGTTTGCTACCATTCAGTCCAGATCATTTTATCTTCTCGTCTGCTAAAAATGTAAAAAATAGAATATACAAAATTGTAATTTTGCCTGTGGTTCTATATGGATGTGAAACTTGGTCTCTGACATTAAGGGAGGGTGTTTGAGAACAGGTGATGAAGAGAATATTTCGACCTAAGAGAGATGAAGTGAAAACTTCAAAACTTGTACCCCTCGTCAAGTATAAATATAATGATCAACTCAAGGCGGGTGAGACGGGCAGAGCATGTAGCACGAATGGGAAAAAGATGAATGCATATAGGTGAGAAAGCCAAAAGGAAGGACACCACTAGCAAGACCAAGCCATAGGTGGGTGGATGATATTAAAATGGATCTTAGAGAGGATGGGGTGATATGAACTGGACGATCTGGCTCAGGACAGAGACCAATGGAGGGCTCTTGTGAACACGGTAATAAAGCTTCTGGTTCTGTAAATTGCTGGGAAGTTCTTGAATATCTGCACAGCTAGCGACTTCTCCAGAGGGGCTCAGCTCCATTAGGTTAGTTAGTTAATTAAGTGAAGGGGATGAGATTGGCTGGACATGAAGCACGCATTGGGCAAAAACGATGGTTTTGATTATAAGTTAGAAGGAAAGAGAGAATTGTTTTTGTAGACATCGCCCACTCCGAAAATGGCAGTAGTCACAATGTAAATACTGTATATTCATAAGTATTTCACTTCTGTGTTCTTCTGGTTTTACCCTATGCACTCTATTTTCAGAAGACTACCTTCTCTAAGCCACGTAATGTCACAATGGAGTGAACTGTATTACATGATGAGCATGTTCTCTGACAGATCCGTGCAACAAGAAACGGCGCTTTCATCCGTTTCGAGGCCTCCGCCGCATATTTCGGAAGAAGGCCCGACACCAGCACGCGGGCTCTGCGGCAGCGTCTGAGCTGCAGGAACACGAAGCTGCCCAGGATCACGTGATGCTCGACAGCGGTGGGACCCCCATTCAGGCACTAGATGCCCATCGCAGTCGGTCCACAAGCACTCTGCTGTCAGGGGAGGACGCTGGGTCTCGCAGAAGGTAACACAATCAGCCTGCTGCTGATCTTCCTTTCATACCTCTTATGTTGAGAGTCATTTAAACGAATTTCCTTTTACTGTCGTATCATTAAGGGTATCACAAAGATGACACCTGTCCGGGCTTGCTCTGGAGTCTCCTGATTACATATATTTTTCTCAGGCTAATATTCTGCCTGCCAGTTCAGTCTACTGCCACCACCACTACCACCATCCCTGCTGTTATTGATATTAATACTGTACTGTTGCTGCTGCTACTACTACACAAACATGAACAATACCAACATCAAGAAAAACTCCAACACTAGAAACATTCCAGCATCAAGAACAATACCAACATTAGCACAGCCACCACCAACAATACCAACGAAACAGCTAACAACAACAACAACAACAACAACGACAAAAAACGCCACGAACAATAAACAACAGCAGCATCTACGACTACAAGAACTGCAACACCAAGAATGACACCAACACCACTATCGCCTGTTTCTATGGACGACCAAAGTATATCATGAAATCCACCTGTTTGGATGTGCCCTGATACCATTTTCACAATTTCCTTCCAAACCAAAATCAGACTACCATCACTGCCACTGCAACCACTGCTTCTACCATTACTAGTAGTACTTGTACTGCTACTACTTATTGTGATCGATCTCAGAGGCCAATCACAAAAACATCGACTTGTACATTTTTACTGTTTCAATCCTGTGTATATTTTCACAATCTTCTTTTCTGCCTCCACAACTACTAGCAATACTGTGGCCACTGTAGTGGCTAATGCCACAATCACTACTGCCACTATCATTGCTACTACTTGGGTAGCTTCCTGATATGAAGCACAAATAATAAAGAACATCTGTGACCCTTATCCAAATGAACCTTAATTGTTATTATGTTCATTTATCTTATTCACTTTCTGAATTGATGTGAATCTGAAGGTTACTTTTGCCAAGAAGATTTGTCTTTTCAGTTATGTCACATCTCAGTACAGAATAAGAAACAGTGACGTCTCAGATAACAGTAAATTGTGTTCCCCTTCCAACGCATATCAAGCAGAATATTTAATTCCTGCAAATCCCTGCAAATTTTCAGAAAACTGCTACTAGACTGCAGAAGATAGTATATTTGCTTATTTCCATGTTTACAAGAACCCACGCTGGTACCCTATTCTGAACAAGTTTACTCAGCTCACATCCATACATCCTGTTTCTTTAAGACGCATTTTAATATTATCAATTTACCCCTAAATTGTCCAAGATATCTCTTGTGTGTATTTGAATAGTCCTTTAAACAAGAGAAGCTGTTGGAGCATGTTAACACACCACAACTGGCTCCAGGAGAATATATTTGAACAGTAAGAATGGAACTGTATTTATGTAAGTTTTTTTTGTTAGTTACATTTAAAACATGAAATTGTGCACAGAATTTACTGAAACTGTACTTGACTTAGTTGTTTACTTTGTTAGTTTGATTTTTTATCTGTTTACAGGAGTGGGAATGGTCTGTTTCCATGTCATTCAGGGCTCAGTGTGTCTCATGATAGCGTGTTTACTGCTGAGCATCGGACACCACACTCTAGCTCAGAAGATCTGGACACAGCACAGAGTTCCTCGTCGCTCTCAATCCAACAGTTGGTACTCCCAGGAGTTCGAGTGAGTACCAGTGCATCTACATATATATCTGCAAGGAAACTGATGACAATTGTCAAAGGAAGAGTTTTCTATAACATATTATATGTGCGAAATATACACTTGACGAAAGGAAGACTGTATTCATAAGAGACAGACCCATCTTCTCGTCAGAGAGGATGTTACGTAAGGACTATTACCGCAAGAGTTCAGTTGAAAAATAAATTTAGTCGTGGGCCTCAAAGGGGCCTGATGCCAAGACGAACTGATTGGCAGTAAACCGCCAGTCGTAAGTAACTCTGACTCTGACTCTGATTCTTGACTGACAGTTGTCAAAATTGTGTACAACATGACATTCTGACTGAAGCTACTATTAAATAATTTCATGGAACAGGAGCGATCTGTCTTCTGGAATATAATGCCATGAAGCCCAGTGAAAGTCTACTGATGTTTCTGAGGAAATATTGCTTTCATGTTTAGTCAGAGAGTAAGCCTAGCAAGAAAACAGTATGAAGTAGGCAGCAGGCAGAGGTTGTATGTTCTTATAGAAGCACAGTAGATCACTGAAGGTCGCGGTGCAGAGGCCGAGAAGGCCCACCCCTTATACGTTCATTCATTCATTCATTCGTTCTTTTATTCATTCATTCATTCCTATAGAATGTTGGTTGATAATGTTGTATATTGCCACGTATCCGGGTACCGCAACAAAAAAAAATATGAGCTCTGGATTAAACGAAGATGATTATTGAAGAATTACTCGTTCATAATTACGATTACAGTCACTTTGAAATAATGCCTTGTAGACGATGCGACCCGACTAGTCCGTCATCTCTCACCTTTTGTCTTCAACGGTTATTCACTCTTCCACCAATATTCAAGGTGGAGTGTCTTTGCTGTTAGTCCTTGGCTCTGCTGGTTTTCTTTGATCTTTCTCTGATCTGCTCATATCTCTCTGATCTGACCTGTTCTCAATTCTCCTTTGGTCTCCTGGTCTGATAACTTTGTTATTTAAGTTAAAATTTATAAACCAAGTAGGTTCATAAATTTTAACTTAAATAACAAAGTTTTAAAAACTTTAATATACCAAGAAAGCTGCTGTAGTTGTGGAAAAGTTGGATTTTGTATATATTGTGCATTACAAACATTGTATGTATATTGTATATGTATTTTAACACTGAAAACACCCATTGTCATAGTAGTTTTCAAAAAGTATCGATGTCCCTCTGATGATGGTCTATAGGGACCGAAACATGTAAGGGTGTTAAGTTTTCAAGTAGTAAAAACTTCAATACTCACACTGGACAGAGTTGTCTTGTCTTTGTAATTTGTTTGTGTGACGGACCAGAATGAAACAAATCAAATTTATTTGTGTTTCTTTAAAGAGTTTTGTAATTTTCTTTGTTGCTTTACCACTATATATGAAAGTGGCCGATTTGGCTTTCTGGTGTTGTGGATTAGTGTTTTTGTTATGTTTGTGAATCTAGTTGCAGACTTACAATCGATGAAAGCGGCCTCCGTAGTCTAGGGGTAACGTTCCCACTTCATGACTCAAGGTACGCGGGTTCAAACCCGGCGGAGGTCGTGGAATTTTTAAGGGCGGAAAAATTCAGGGAACAAGTCCTCCGGGAGGGACTTTAAGCCGTGGGTCCCGTGTCGTAGCTTTACGGCACATAAAAGAACCTCATGTCTCAAGGAGGCCTCTGAGCCAAATTATAAGGACATTTCCCGCCCAACAATAGTCTCTAACGCCTCTGGTAGACGGGGGAAGCATCTAGATACCGCTGAGACAGTAGAGGCCGAACNGCATAATGCACCTGATGACGGCCAGTTAGGCTGAAACAATTTGTGAAATAAAACAGAAAGAAGAAACATCGAAACCTAGCGGACTTTGATCAAGTTGCTCTAGGAGGGATAAGAATAAGAACAGTTTTCAAGCCCAAAAATAAATTTGGAATCAAGTGATGAAATACAGTTTTGAAAAACATCCTATCCACTTTGCATGACAAAACCACAGCAGATATGGAGCTGGTCTAAGGATTTTGACCAGAACACTGTGGCTGCTAGAGCAGTTATCAGCTCAGATGCCAAGTTGCAAATGGATTAATCTTGCTTCTCAGTGTGCTTGCTAGTTCAGGCAGGTAAAAGGAGCCAGGGGGGTAGGGGAAAAGCACTGTTGTACAAGAAAGTGGCTACTTGCTGCTTTGTAAATTAATATACCAAGAGCTGACAATGTATGTCTTACATCCACATCGTCGTCGTCGTCGTCGTCGTCGTCATCATCATCATCATCATCATTATTGTTGTCGTCGTTTCCAGTGTTGGGCCCATGGAAGCTGTTAAGGATATTATGAAAGGGAATGCTTTTATCGTTTCAGATGTTTTCTCATCTTTTCTCTGCGGTTGACATTTTAAGATCCTTATGTAGAATCCTGTCAGAGCTCATTCTGTAAAATGCGTTTTCGATTTCCTTCTATAAATTCAATTTTTATATAATGTATAGTTCTCATAATTTAATTTCTTTTATGGAATATATGTTTGTATCCTGCAGTTCTCTAAATGAAACATGTTTCTGCTGATATTAGTCTTCTCTTATCCGTTCTTATTGTCCACTGTCTTCACTCAGAGAAGTTAAATGTATCAGAAGAGACAGAAATGCAAATTCTTTCTAAGTAATTGTGGCGTACTGTCATGAGTTTCTCTCCAACACGAAGCATGAATACCAGTCTGCCATTTGAACATAACTCAGGATGTATCCATCAGGAACTTCCTTTTCAGAGGATAAACATCTCAAAAGTAAAACCATGCTGCTTCTACAAGTATCTTTTATTTTGCACAATGCAAATTTATCCACTATGTGGTTATGCAGGATATGAATTTGTTATCTGTTCAAATGAAGGAGATTTAGAACAGCATGTTCATAAAGAATTGCTCTCCAGGAGTTGAGTATGCATACAGAAAGTGAATGTTATATTTGTAATTCTGCATTTGTTTACTTTTATTTAATGATTCTTTTTAAAATGTGGTGAAAAGATTATTTTCTAAACAATATATGCTAGAGCCATGATTTTGGCACATAAGTCTAGCACAATATTAGGAGTAACTATACCAAGTTTCTGTTCAGCCCTATTAGTATTTGTAAAGTAAAAGTAAAGTTATCCCTCTGCTTAATTAAACATTAAACATGAAGACATATGGAGGAGTGGAGGTACCATCTCCACCATTCTTAACCTTGCCACTAGATGGAGGTGAGTGGTCAGCTATATGCCCCAGCCACTTTACCCCTGAGCAAACAGCCCCTGATACCTATTAAATAGGATGGTGGACGAGCCCAAGAGCTGGTCTGAATGCCGTGGAGTGGAGAAATGTCTCTTGTCCGTACCGGGAATCGAACCCCAGCTGTCCATTCCATAGCTCTTCACCGTACCGACTGAGATATCCTGGCATCACCCATAATTCGTAACAACATATACCACCAGCCTACGAACACGACATGAAATTGCACCTTCAAAACTACCCCTACAAATTTAATTATTTTCTAAGATTTTAACAATTTTTGAAAATATGGGACAACAGATTTGTACCTTATTGTGCAGATGTTATTACAGAGCACTCAGTTCCTGGTCTAAAGATGGCTGGGTTTTGCATTAGTATGCCTATTTCCTTTTCCCTTACTTTTATTTACAATGTAGTTATGAAGATCCTTAAAGTAATGCTAAAAAGACATGTATAAGAAATTCTAACATATGTTTTATTATCTTTGAGAGAAACCTCCATGGTTTATTGAACTCCCAGAAAAGAGTCGTTGTTCTAGTGCAGTTTCAGTGGAAGAACCTATATTTTAAAAGGGGGAAATGACTAAAAGCTGCAAGCAGATAAAAATGGATTGAAAGTATGAGTAGGCATGTACTGGTAGTTAGGAGGAACGTACTGCTTCCATCTTCAAGGCCGAAGAGTGAGCCAAGGAAGCAGACAACAGTGCTCAGTCCTTGCTTCTTGCTGGTACTTGTTTATTCATGATTGCTTGGCTTCTTCCACCCTGAAGATGTAGGCAGTATGATCCATCGAAACATTGCTGAACTTCAACCAGACTACAGACCATGCTTGCTGCTTGCTTCCTATAAGTTCTTGGCGTAATATTTATGTCTAAAAATGAAGGCAACACATTTCTGCAAAACATCGATAAGCTAGCAGACTACACGGCGTCACATGCAAGAAAGTTACTGTAAATAAAATCTGGGAATCCATGAGTTGAATCACAGTGGCACCCATGACTGTTAGGTGTGACCATGGTTCACTACACTCATGAAAGGCTAACAGACTCTGCAGGGTCAGTTTGGGGAACTGGTATTGGACAGTGTTGTCCTGTAGCGTTCATCATGGAACCGGTTCGAGCTGCAACCCATCCAAAGAACAAAGTATGACAGGAATTCCAATCTTTGTGCCATGTGATATAAGCTTTACTGTTCTTCCTTGAAGGTATACCTCCCGCTCAACTTTTCTATAAAATTTGAACAGCAGGCCTATCTGGTATACCCCACGCGTATATCTATCGCGAACTGTTATAGTTTGGGGGAGATATAATTCCTACTACAAATTTATCCATAGTAATTTCATGGGAAGTGTAGAGAATATATATATCTATTACGTTAAAATTTATTTAAAAGTTTGTGACGATGGTATATTAATACAGTTATTGTGTTTATCTATCGCCATGTTTTTATTTAGAACACACAACGTTTCGGAGGTCGGATTCTGTCTCCGTCTTCAGGTGGAACCTTCTCAACTGGGCACAGTTGATAGAGCTATTTCCTGTCTCCGGACCTAGTTTCCGAAACGTGTGTTTTAAATAAGAACAGGGCGGTGGATAATGCCCAGAAACATAATAATTGCTTTCAAATTTATTGCTAACAAATAATTAAAAGGACACACGTTGGCAGGTGGGATTGTTTGTAGTGACTATGCACCGGGCCGGACGTTCGAGAAACCTCTGCAGTAGTAAGGTATTTTCGCCATGTGGCTCCATT